AAGGGCACACTGCTGGCTCATGTTTAACTTGTTATCCACCAGGACTCCCAGGTCCTTCTCGGCAGAGCTGCTTTCCAGCAGGTCAACCCCCAGCCTGTACTGGTGCATGGGATTATTCCTGCCTAGGTGCAGGACCCTGCACTTGCCTTTGTTGAACTTCATGAGGTTCCTCTCCGCCCAGCTCTCCAGCCTGTCCAGGTCCCTCTGAATGGCAGCACAGTCTTCTGGTGTGTTAGCCTCTCCCTCCAGTTTAGTATCGTCAGCAAACTTGCTGCGGGTGCACTCTGTCCCTTCCTCCAGGTCATTGATGAATATATTGAACAAGACTGGACCCAGGAATAAAATAACAAAATATTGTTTCTCCTGAAATACGACTTTGAACTGAGAAGATGATCATACTATCTCAGAGTCTTTGGTACCTGTTGCTCTTATGTGGATGTGTATAACATGGCCAGGGAAGAAGAGTGTACCAGAGCAGAGATTACATTAAAAAAAGGTTTTGTTCTGAATTCTCATACTTAATTCTGTACTGCATTATCTACCACAGGTCACAGTGGATGGTCGTTGGAAGATTTGCCCATATGCTTAAGATACTAGTTTAATGCCTCTGTGTGGTTCTGATCTGGGGTCTTCAGAATCAAGGCTTGTAGGTGTGATTTTCATGGACATTTAAGACTGGAACTAAGACAGCTGCAAGGGAAGCATGAGTTACACCTTTAGAGAAAAAAAAAAAACGCGCTAAACTTTTGCTATGAATAGCCATGAAAATATGCATCAGTTTGTTGCAAGGAAATGAAATAAAGACATACTTAGTAACAAAAGCTAATTCAGGTCCTGCCATTTGCAGAATACCCCAAACCAAGATTTTAGGCTGCAGTTGGCATGTTTGCTAGGGAAATAGATATAGAAGGTAAGAGTCGCCTTAACGTTCTCTTTGGGATGATCGTTTCTGATGGTACTCTGTTTTTCTAATAATAGTGTTTGTGCATCACCTGGTCTTCCTCTTCATAGTTTGCTGAAAAATAAATTGCAATCTGGTTTTTAAGAAAGAATCCGTAACAGGAGCACTACTAACTCCTTAAATGCTGACAGTGTATATTCAGCGCTTGTTTGAATGCTGACACCCACTACAAGTGCCTACCTTTTCTGTCTCTTATTGAGCTACTCACACAAGTAAGGTTAGGCACGTCTGCATGTTTTTTCCCATTGTGCTCGTAAATTATTATTAGATCGCTCGAGGAATGAGTTTTAAGGAGAAAACTGAATTTAGACACTATGTGAGTATGTAAGTTTTAAAGTTTTACGTGTAGAAGTAACAAGACAAAAAAAAAAAAAAAGACGTGCAGCTGACACTGGGTGCAGGTGTGATACCAATGAGGGGAAAAAAAAGAAGCCATCCCATAGCCACGTAACTGGGAATGCAGTCTGTGCCAGACTGGGCTAATGGAAGGCTCTATTTTCCTTAGGCTTCTCACAGTAAATCTGCTCCAACAACACTTCTTGTGTTGAGCCACAAGTACATGGCAAAATGAATGAGACCTGTTTTCCAAAACACCTTAAAAAACTGTTCGCATGGAAACTGAAGGCCTTGGTGCAGGAAGATGTGGTATCATTCCTGTGTATGTGGTTATAGTATTCACAAACACATAGTAAATTTGTAATACAAGAAGGAAGTTCACTGTCTTAGCCTGAGATCTTCCAGAGTTAGGAGCTGCCCCCCTCACTTGCTTCAGTGGTTTTCTCTTTCTCTCTGTGTCAGGATACATTTATGTGTATATGTATGTGTATATATGTGTATACAGACACTTGAAAGAAGGGAGCATAAACATTGGAAGAGATCTTTCTCTCAAGGAATATACATGGAGAGTAATTTAGATAACCAGAAATGGAATGTGTAGCTCTTCAGCAGTTGTTTTATTTGTGGCCTTTGAAACAGTTCTCACTTTCCACATCCCATGAAGCCACAAGCCCTGGTGCTGCCCATGTCAGCAGAAGAGCCAGTGGCTGAAGGAGGGCAGCAGTTACTGTGCTGGGTCTTCCTGCCGTACGTGGGACATGCTCCAGCTTGGGGTGAGACGGAGAAGAAATCTCTGTTCCCGCTCAAACTGAGTATGTTTGTCATATGTGGGTATATTACATTCTCTAGGACTGAGAGTTTGAAGCGCTTCCCAAGCACTGCGTTCCTGTGCATGATTAAAGAATACCTGCTAATTAATAACAGCATAACATTGCTGTTGTTTAGAACTTACAAGAAGTTAAGGAAGAAAATGCAAAGTGGGTAATTTTTATTGTCTCTATGTTTATGTTTGGGGAGGGCATTTCGGGGAAGGTTCTGTGAAATCTCTTAAGAGCATAGTTTTTTTGAACACTGTCAAAGGCAGAGATTCATAGTTAGAGCACTGGAAAGGGTGAATCCATCTCTGACTGGGCACCATTTGAGGTATTTACATTGAGTGAGAGTGGTTTGAGTTGCAGGGTTTTTTTTCTTCCCTTGGTAAGGGTCATGAGTTTGGTAAAGGTGAAGGTAAGTAAAAGGCAGGTGGGCTTTTTTTCTGAAAGCTGTTCTCCAATCTGTTTGAGAGCAGTCACGCTGAAGCTGTGTGCTTAACTCACTGAACATTTTTGAAATAGTTTGTTTTTCTTTTGAACACTTTGGGCGCTAGGACGTAGAAATATTGCTGTGGAGGGACATATCTGAATAAACTAATGGAACTGGTCCCTGCTCCCAGGGTGTCTCTTGCAGATTAGCCAGAACTTACCTACGTTTGATAAGAGAGTGTGGGAAGGACCAAGTGGTTCTTAAAAGGGAGGTGGGATAAGAGAAAAAAACTTAATGGATTTGAAGTATATATGTGTCTCACAAGATTTTGATTTTTTTATAGTGTGCTACAATAGGTACAGGGGTTTTGAAAAAGCCGAGTCAAAAAAGTGGCCACAAACAGGGTAGTGGGAGTTGCTGTCGTAGGGCTAGCCTTGACCAGTATTTTCCTGGTACCTGGAGACTGGGGAAGTTACTCCAGGTGCAGGATGCACATGAGAAGTGTATGTGAGAGGAGACTAGGGGAAAGCCAGGCAGAAAGAAGAACAAAGAGTGTGGGAAATGTGGAAAATAGAAGGGGAAATACATATGGTGGCAGAGGAAAGGTCAAGATACTCAAATCCCAGAGGAGCTAAAATATCAAGTCCTACAGATTTCTGAAGACAGTACTCCCTGTTCAGAGCTGTGTGTTGGCAAAGCGTTTATTATTACAATGAGCTAGGTAACTTGAGAAAGTTATGAGCCGGATACTTGAGAAAGTGTATTAGCCTGGGGAGGCTCAAGAGAAAGATATCTGAAAAATGTAACTGAGTTGTGAACAAGGTTTTATCAGAAAGAGTGGTGCCTCAATGTTTTTACATTTATTCTGTATATCATTTAATGACTAAGTCATATTAATGAGGTTATACCCCAATCTAGTCTGGGTAAAGGGGGGGAGAGAGAGAGAGAGAGAGAGAGTCTCTTACCAAACCCCAAGTTGAGTGGGGTTGAGTGCCAGTCCACAACAGAAGGCATCTTGGGACAGCAAAAGCATAAAAAGAGCTCTTTTTTTTTTACTGTGCTCAGTCTGAAAGAGTGACTGAATAGATGTAGTAGCCTTCATCACATTTATTATAAGACACGTTGCATTCTTTAGGCTGAAATTAATTTCTGGTGCAAAAGGCCAGTTACGCAGGATCAAACACTTAGAGTGTAAAACCATCCACCTTGCGTTTTAGAGGCAGTTTGCAAAGTTAATTTTGAAGAGGATATCAAGTAATCTTCAAGTCAGCTTTTTGGAAACTGAAGTCTTAATTCAAATTAGTAAAGATATCATCTGTATCTTCAGCTTATACCTGTCTCTACCTCGGTTTTGGGAATGGGTTGGTGTTTACTCTGTGTATATGTTGAACATGTAAAGTCCACACAGTATGTGTGTTTTTAAATAGCTGACATAGCTCAGCCATGCTATGTGAAGCCCTAGTGCTTTTGTTTCCAAAACGCTTTTGGCTAGATAGATGCTAACAACTCTCTGAAACAAGTAGGAGCGTCTTCAACAGTGTGCATTGCTTGCAGCCCAAACGGTGTTGTTAGGATTTAGATTAGATGCGTCAGACATTTGAATCACAATTGAAGTCACAGTTATGTACTGTTTGATTTACCTGAATAATTGCATTGCTTAGGTAGAATGGGTTTAGTGAGATTTTTAAGCATAGCCATATATAAGACTAGTCTGTAAACCTAAGCTACTACTAAACTGAAGTACTTGGTTCAGAATGTTTAATAGCTCAGTATGATTATGAATGAACAACAAAATACATTTTACTTTTTAGCTGAGATTAAGTAGGTATCGATTTGTAACATTATTTGTACATTGCATATTAAAAGTACACAGGCGAAAGCAAAATCAGTAACCATAGAGCTGTATGAAAACAGCTGTACAACATTATGTTTAATTATTAATAATACTTAATTCTACAAAGTGGTAAAATGAAATTACTGGTTATGTTACTAGAAGTTGTATTTCTTTTGTTTAACTTGTATTGGCGTGGGACAGTTTTCTGGAAATGTAAGCTCTTTACTCAAAAAGTGGAAGAGATCACAAGGACGATCTGTGCTACATCCTGTCAGCTCGTCGCAAAGAGAGTGCCGGTTCTGTGGAAAAGTGCAGTTAACAAAGGAAAAGGGACACAAGTTCACCGAAATGCTTCTTCAAGATTAATGACAGTAATGGAGCAATTCTGTTTAAAGTTTGACATATAAAATAAAGAAAATGTAGAGGAATTAGAAAGCAGCATGTGAACAAAATACATGAGTAACAGCAAGAAATATTATGTCCTCTTGCCAGTAATGATGGTCATACACCTTTGCTCTCAACACTACAGATATTTGTAGAGATACCGGAATCAGAATCCCGCTATGATGAAACAGAATTTTGCATGGGCTGGTATCCTCTGCCCCTCTGTGTTCTCTGTCCACTGAGGCAAATTACCCCGCGTGCTCTGTTCTCCTGCAGTGAGATGTTTCTGTTACTTTAGAGAAAAACAGTCACATATTTCTGCACAATTGTTGCCCTGACCTATGTAGCTGTAGCCCTGTTTGCAAACTGAATTGCTGAAAAGGCAGTTTGTGCTTGCTTGTACTTTTTGTTGCTTCTAGAGAGGAATCTTCTTGTTCATCTGATACATTGTAGGGCCATTGACCTATTCATATTTTGATAGCTTTACAGGTACTGCTTCTTCCTCGTAGTTCTGTGAACAACAAATAATGTGTGGGTGGGGGAAGCAAGGGGAGAAAATGTGTTCGATATTCAGTGCACCCAATTTATGTTGCAATCAATACTCCAGTGTACTTAGTGGGAAACTCAAGGTTTTATTTTTAAAGTAGTAAGCTCTGGAAACTGGCCAAAGCGGTGTAGTGTTCTTCCAATTAAGTATATGCCAAGGCACCCACAAAATGATACTTTCTCTCAGCTCTGCATTAACTCTTGCACCATCTTAAATAGCAGATTTGACATAAATTGATATTTTTTTGTATTTCAAAGAAAGACTGATAAACGGAAGCTGATAGTTGACCTGCCATAAGTGGTACATCAAGAAAAGGGCAAATTTACAGTTAGAACCAAACCCTCAAAGATACAGGGCTGACGGATAATTCACTAACTGAGACAACCTCAAACTGTGTTCTCTAGCCCAATCAGAACTGGTAAGTGGCCAAAGCAAGATTAGAAATTGAGATATTTGGATTTTTGTATTTTGTTTTCATGTTTTTAGTGTAAATCTCCTGCCTTGTGCTTGTGCAGAAATCCTTTCAAATATATATTTAAGCTTGTCTTTGGATGCCACTGTAGTTTACTATTTGTAAACAGTCTGCTGTGAGAGGTTCGAACTTCCACACCCTCCAGTGGCAGAAGTGGAAAGGCTGCTGCAATAGATGTATTTGACAGTAATACTAAGTCTTCCACGATGACAAAGGAGACAATCGGTTTCAGTCTCATGCTCAACTGGGTACGTTTAAAGAAATGTCTTCTTTAAAAACACGCCATGGCTTTTTCTAAGGGAAACATCCCTCCTATCTTCAGTAGCAGTCCAGCAATCCCAAGAGATGCATAGGCATGGAAAGAAGTTTTCAGTTGTAGGCAGTATATTCCAGCTATTTTTCATCACTGGGATTTTTTTACAACAGTGGAGGGTAAATCTTTACCATCATAAGCCAGGGGATTTTTGTTAAAAGCCAAAATTGAGAAAAAAAGGACAAAAGGTTCCCGTTGTGTCGTATGATTTCTATATAAAGTGTGTCAGTGGAATGATCCTGTATTTTGAAGTGGATGCTGTAAAATCTTGTATGCACTGTTGTTTCTGTACCACTGCTATTGTGAACGGCTGGTCACCGGGCCACGCTCCTTCAGCTGCTGCTCTGGCAGTGGTGAAAACAAGTTGTTTAAAAAGATAGATAAATTACTGCAGTAGTAGTAAGTGTGGGCAGGCAAGAGTGTATTTGAATGTCATCTGTTGAAGGAACAACGGCAGTAAGATTACTCTTCGAAGCCACGAGGTGCAGCGTTGTTAAAGTCATTGCATGGAGGTGAGGAACTCCATTTGGTAAATGACAGCGAGCGGTCTTGATTGCAGACGTGAGACCCTACACACCGCCCTCCCCGCTGAGGCCTCCGTTCCCAGCTCCATAGTGGGAGCTTTGTGCAGAGACCGGAGAGAAACTCTGACCTCTGTGCTGCTCTTAAACTAAAGGGTCCCTAGGACCAAATGATGAGTAGTCCTGTAGTTCAGTTGCTGTTCTTCAGACTGGAAGCTAAGGGCACCCAGAAACCATACGTGGCTTAGCAGAGAAAACAGTCAAACCCATTCTTTTCTCTTAAAGGATGAATAAAAGTCGATAAAGACTCCTGATAAATCCTAAAAATGGTGGGTCAGGAGATGTATCCCCCTTCTCCTTAGCAGTGAACAGCACCTTATATTGATAGGAAAAAACATGAAAATTCATTTTTCTTTGGCTTTTTGGGTAAACCGAAGTCATGACAGTGTGGCAGATCAGAAATTTAGTTTTCCTTCTGATGATGCTGTTAAAGGACTGTCTCCATCATAGACTTCAGCAGACTGATGTTTTCTGCGGACAGATTTCCACTGAAAGCAAGTTGGATTCTGAGGGCTTTTAAAGATCTGCAGTGCACATTGTGGGCTCTTTACAACACTTCTGCAAGCTGTTATTTTCCCTTGTGGTAGAATAGATTTGTACCCCTTGTATTTTTAATAGCTGTCATCATAGTTGTCATCCATATACTTTTAAGTTGTTATCACTACATATTCTATATTCAAAGTCTGTGCTTACAATTGTCTTTCAAGACATCAGATTGTAGTTATTTCCTTTCTAACTGTTCCTGCATTTGCTTCTTGATCAGCCATTAGAGTAATGGATATACTGCGTTATTCAGGAGCGGAATACTCTGCCATACACAGTACTCGGCTCAAGAGGAGCTGTTTAAGGTCTTTAATAGCTATTGTCCTTGACTTCTTATCTGTTTGTGATGATGATGAATTTTACTAATTAAGATGATAATGAATGCTAATCACTGGACAAGTATTAGGTTGGCTCTTTGTAAAATTAAAGAGTTAAACCTGTTCTTGCAAACCTGTAGCTATAGGATTAACTTCATGCACAAAAGTGGACCCGTTGAACTTAAATTTAAGTGTTTTCAAGCACTTGGCATCATATACTTGGTGTCTTGTATACTAAATTCCCTCTCCTGCTATTTTACTACCTAGGGGAACATGGTCTTTTTGAGTTTGTTTGCATTTAGAAAAGTAAGTGTCTTCAAAAGTTGGCCATAACAGACAAGTCCTCTGATCATGTCCAACTGTAACTGACAAAGCAGACATGATAGGTTGGAGTATCATTTTTAATAGCTAGAAATTGTATTAGGCATTGTTGAAAGGAAAGAATCTCTTAATCAGAGTGATAGATGAATGCCTTCCTTGGATATGTCTTTGTTGTCAGAAATGACAGTTTATAGAATTAACATTCCCTTATTATAAAATTTAAGTTCCCTTACAGTTCTTGAGAAGAATGTATGGAAGAGCAGAAATCAAAAAATGAAAATAAAATTAATATTACTTTTTTTCCAAAGGACATTAATTTTACTCTGAAATCCTATTTTTTACTTTCTTACGTTACATTTTTTATGTTTTGTGTAAAGAAATAATTTTAAAAAATTGTACACATTTTGATGACAGTTGAAACTGGAGTATTTATATTGTTTATGCTTCAAGTAACAACAAAATTACCAAAAGAGGAGCAGGTGGCTGCAATTCAAAACCATGAATTCAGTCTCATGCTGCTCTTACTATGTTATGAAGTCTATATACAGTCAGTTCATTTACATGAATTAATTACTCAGTGTATATTTTGTTTGAAATACTCTAGCTGTTAAAAAGGTGCGTTTTAAAGATTAATTTTGAATGGGTTGTTTAATAGAATTTTTTTTTTTTTTTGTATATCTTCAGGATGTAGATTTGAAAGCATATCAGGAAGCTTTGAATGACTGTTGTCCACGTCAAGGAAATGATCAGTTAGAATTGCAAGAGGGGGAGGAAGAAGAGGGCATAAATCGAGTAAATGATGAAAAAAATGGGAAAAGGGAAAACTCTGAAGAAGAAGTGAGGGTGAATATAGAGCCTATTACTGAGGTAAGAGTAGTGAAAGAAACAGTGGTTTTGAAAGGAATGCCTGATATCCTCTTTTCATTTGTGGGTGTTCTTTGCAAGGACAGGAAAGGAACAGTGACTTAAGATGGTAGTCTGTAAGACATGGCCTTATTCACCTTCTCAAAAACGGACCCTCCAATATAATTCATGTAGTTGAAATGTTCTAAACTTTACAGAAATGACTAATTTTTACATTTTCTCCATCTTGAAGGTATTGTGTTTGTGGGCGAGGGTTTTTTTGGCATATGAGTACTTGAGACAAGAACACTAAATTTTACTGCTTTCGCTATTTATGTTAGACTTTTTCTCCAAATGTAGGATTATATTTGGGGAGACTTGATTGCCTAGATCTGAGCATATATATTGTAACTTGAAGGCAGAAAAACAATGATGTTAAACCAAAACAGGTGCACTCCAGATTTTGTTCTTTTGAAATCTACAGTAAAAGAGCATGTTTATTCTGTTTACTCTTCCTGGTGAGAACTGAGAACATCGGATCCATTTTCTTTGCCAGACGTCTCACCTCTATTTTACTGCTGCCTCGGCAGGTTGGCTTTTAAAGACTATTTGCTTTTTCCACAGTGATGGATGAGTGCAGCCTCAAAGAGGAAGAAGGCTCAGTTCTGCATTTGTAGGGCAAAGAACAGTGCTACTGACACTGAGCTATTCTGCTTCTTCTGACGACCTAACATCTCCCATCAGGATGAAGACTAGACGGCAGGGTCTGCAGCAGTGCTTCCCAGAGCTGTGCGCTGCTTCTTCCCAGACTTTGACTTGTACCTCTATTTGTGTAAAATAACTGTGCTTTACAAAGTGTTTTTTTAACTCTGTCACAGAAAGATTCCTTGTAGATTCCCTTCTCTTTTCAGACGACTATTTACAACTGCTGTCGTTGCAGACAGAAAACATGCTAGAGGTAAACGTGAAAGCATATGTATTGCCAATAGACTGGAATACAGTCAGTGGTTATTGCATAATGACTTCCTCAGTTTCATTTAATTAAAAAACAAGGAATGTATCAGCAAATCAGTGCAGTTAAACTTACCGCAAGAATTTAAAGAAGCTAGTGTCCACCTTTTATCAAAGTTGTCATTGGCTGTATTTGTAAAATTTTCCTCAGTAACTTTCTTGGGATTTGCAAACTACAGAGTCGAGTCTTTCCTGTGACCTAGCGTTGAAAGTTGGAGGGAGGTGCTGGGCAAGTCCATTAATTCAACTAAAAATTTTCTGAAACCTAATGCCAGCTGGTATTTATGCCACAGCTCTTAGTGTGTCTCTGTAGAGCAACACCAGTGTACTAAACACTAGCAGTTATAAAGTAGTTGCAGCCAAAGATTAGAGTTGTCATAAATATTGAGTTAAGTGCTTAGAAGGTCACTTCCTTCCAGAAGCACAGACCCTTCTTGGTTGCATATCAGGTCAGTCAGCATTAGCAGCTAATCCATTTTGATTGCTTTGTTCATCTTCTGGGCTTCTGATAATACTGTTTACTTTTTGGGTGCACATCTTCACAAAAAAGTTATCTTAATTGGAGTCTCCCTCTTCTCTCACAGCTCATAGCTGCAGTCATTAAACCATGAAGCTGCTGCCTACATTCCTTTTTTGCAGTGCTCCACAGGCGTCTTACACATGCTTCCCATTGTAGGAGTGTTATAACTTGCTTATCTCTGGAACACCTGGTTTTGGGAAACCAGGTGGCGTAGTGCCTCCTAGCCCATAAATTAGCCTCCTCCCCTGTTCAGCTTTGGTAACACATTCCACACTAAGTTCATTGGGATTTCAGTTTTCTCAATTATTTTCATAATTTCAAAGGAATTTGGCTGTAGCTTTCATGTAGGTATGACAATACATGGTTGCATATTTTATTTAAGACAATCTAAGCACATCTATGTTGCTACCTTGCAACAATTTATCTGTTAAAAATGGGATGCTTGTTCTTTTCCAGCTAAGTATCAAATCTTTACAGTGGGGGGTTTTTTAAAACTATTCACTGTTAAAAATGTTTCTTCTCAAGGGCTTAATTGACAATACCGGCTCTATCTCATGGTCTACAGGTGCTCTAGCACACGGTAGCGCGCTAGGAGAAATATGGCAAGACTTCTTCTGTTACCTGAGCTCCCCATAAGCATAATAGAGAACTTGAAACATTCTCTTCTTCATGGTACATCATTCCTTCCCTGTGGAAAGTGCTTTTTACGTTGCTTGTTCAATGAATTGCAGTCAGAAAAGCCCACTTCCAAATCACAATAGGTATGCTTAGTTGTGGAGAAATCCTAACATACACTTCCTGTATTTGATGTATTTACGTTCTTAAGTTCTCTACATTAGTGTACTTCATGACTACTCCACTGTCAGCAAGTGTCCCAATGTAATGTGTTGCACTGTCTTGGTACTTCTAAACCGAGGGGACCTTGATTTTACTGCAGCACTTGCTGGAATTCAGGCTGAGGGGTCATACGGCAGCTTTGTTTTATAAACAAAGCTGAAGAGTGATTTAAACTTAAAAAAACATTCCCAGAGGATGTGAACAACACAGATTTTTTTTGAATCTTTTCTCCAAACTGATAAGTAAAGGAGTCGAATCGAAAGCTGAAGACAAGAGACCTCAGTTAAGCAGCTGATCCTAACGTGGCAGCTAGCAGTCCTGAATGGCTGCCTTTTATAACCCGTGAAAAAGAAAGCAGTGAGGCTGCCTGATTTGTGCCTCAAATCCACAAATGCAAGTTCCTCTCCTTCTGCTCACTTTTCCTACACCACTGGTCTCCCTGGTTAAGTCCTGTAGGTGAGCTGTTTTATCTTCTTTACAGAGTTAATTATCTCACAGTTTAGCTCCTTGAACCAACTTGTGCTCAATTCAGATCAGCGTTAATGCCACTACCAGAGAAAGGAAAGGATCACCCCTAGAAGGAGCCTTTCTTAGACCAGATTAGATGCAACGCTTAGGCTGTAGTTTGATAAACACTTAGCTACAGTCTACTTCTACCTCTCACCGCTCATCAATCACTCCCACCCACACCATCCTTCCCAAATCCTCTTCCTCCCATCTCTTTAACCAGCTCTTTCTTCTGCATCTTCCCCTCTTCCTCCCGCCATAAGCTAACACAGGTTATGCTCTGTACAAATGGGAAATAGTTCAGAGGGGTGGCGTTCAGGATAGCTAGAAGAAGAATTTAAACATTTAAAATTCTGATATTAGCGGATTCAGGTAGTGGGGAATTCTAAAATAAACAAACTGATTATGACTGTGTAGGTGAAGGATGTAGAGGCATTAATTATATAAGAGAGAGCCTTTTTCCCCCTGTCATCTTTTAGAGGAGTTTACTGGAAGATACACAAGTTGCTACTTCTAGCAGAGGCTGAAATTCATCGTCCTCACACTACAATGTAAATTTGCTCACGCTACAATGTAAATTTGACCCAGACAGGTAGCCACTGTTTTAGTCCTCATGATAGCATGCTACAAAGATTAGACTACCCCACTCAATCAAATACAGAAACAAGACATTCACAAAGACAAGCGTCTTTTCTGCAGTGAAGCTCTAATACAACAAATCCGGAATCACTACTTCATGCGACAGATTTGACAGGGCTGCTTTCAGCAGCTGTCATTGGAAACCTAACACACCCCTAATCTTCCAAACCTTGAGTAGAATATATTTGATGAAATTAATCTCATGTCTTTGGTTTTGGAGGAAGGATTCAGTCCTATAGGAATTCCCCAGCTCTTTGAGGAGCCTGACTCAGATTCTGGACTGTCTTTAAATTCAAGCCATAGCACCACCTCTTCTGATTTATCGTCTTATTCAGTCTGCAGTGAAGGTGCTGTTGCATGCAGCAGCAATGCTAAATCCGTTTCCCTGCATGGCGTAGGAATTGATGATGGTCATTGCCAAAAATGTACTAAATATGGCCATGAGGAATATCAAGGTGATTCAGAGTGCTCTAGAGAAGCTGTAGTTCAGCAGTTGCTTCATAACCTCCCTTACAGTCAGCTGCCAAGTCAATCAGTGAGCCTCATCAAGCAGATGCAGATGGAGAAATCAAACAAAGGAAAGGATAGGTGCCGTAATTCTACTGACCAGAACCTTAGCCACGATAAATGCCAGGCAAAACCTCTGAGAATTCAATTTTCTGTCAATGAAGTTGTGAGTATGCCCGTCAACTCCTTCAACAGCATGTTAGCAAAAAAACATCTGATAGACACCCAGGTATCACTTATATGCAATATAAGACGAAGAGGAAAGAACAACGTTGCTGCCCCAAATTGTTGCAAACATAAATGGGATGTGATTCTTGCAAGATGTGTAACCTTCAAACACAAAAGGAGAGCCTTAAGAAGGAGCACTTTCAGTGTAGCAGATCACTCTGCTTGATGAAGCAAAAGTTAAATGACTCGTATCATGACATTGTTCAGTATATTAAGGGCTGACCAGGGCAGACCTGTTAACATAAGCCAATGTGCCGCTCATTGCAGTAGCGATGGCAGCATTTTCCTAATACCTCGACACCTGGTCAAATCAGAACATAAACAAGATAATCAGAAAGAACGGAAACAAAAATAAGATACATTAAGGTAACTTTTAAGATTTTATTTTTCTGAAGGAGTGATGAATATACTGGTGTGAAGACCTCTAGGTCAGTTCTTACAGCAGTGCAAACAGAAAAGACTTATTAAATTTGAATGGGAAAACGACAAGTTTAAGGGCTCGGCAAATACAGCAAACTGTCGTCAGAAAGAAACTCTAGCAGCTGAGACTTCCGAATGAGGTGATCTGTTTAGTTTTCATGAGAATTAAAGTTTCTTTAAGAACCCAGGCCATCAGTTACAAATACTGCATTTAAAGGCCTACGAAGACAAAACGCACAAGGTCATTTTAACGGAGACTAGGAACTTTCTGGGGATGGGCATGGGAGGGAGAACATCGAGGTGGGGAGGGAAAGCAAGCTTTATATCAAAGCTACAGGTGGAAGGAAAGTGTTTTTAAATCCTAAGTACCTGATTCCTGACATACAAAGTGACCTTAGATTTCATTATTATTAGGCATTGGAAGAAACATTGTAGCTTAAGTTCATCTTTGGTTTAAATTAACTGTGGATTTATGTATTTCTATAAAAGATATACTGTGTTTGTGGTACTCGTTCAGAACTGTTGTGCTTTTCCAGGTTTTCCCTGGGGGAGAGAGGCCCTGGAAGCTACTGCATTTTCCTCACCTTTCACAGTCATAGTTCCAAGCAAACCCAATGTACCAGTTAATGTTACAACTAGTGCGGTCACTCTCCAAATATATTCTGAAAAATTCGTATCTAATTCAGTATTGTCTTACCATGGTCCTCTGCAACCCTATCATTCTTAAGTTTCTTGCGTGAAAGCATGCTGAATGAGTTCCTATTTTGTTTCGTAGTCCGTGACACATTTACTTTTGTGACTTCCCTTTCTTCTCCTTCCCTTTTTCCTTTTCCAGTTGGACAGATAACTAGGTATTTCCCCAAAAGGAAATACTTAGTCTTTTCCTTCTAGTTTTGTTTTTCAACTGGTGTTTTGTAAGCACCTTGAACTTTTGTGTGTAAAAAATCTTTTCAGTAAATGAAGTTGTACTAAATTATGTATCAGTACTTGTGAGATAATCAGGTCCCACTCCTTCTGACAGTGGCTTTGAATGAAGAGATCTACTAGCCTTTGGTTTTGATGTGAATTTATTTGTACTATAAAAAAAGACACTTGACTTACATACTTATTCTCAATGGTTCATCCTTTTGTATTTTATATCCTGAAAAAGGACTGCAAAAAAGATGGCCTAAAAGAGAAATAGGCATGTAATGATGAGAAAGGAATGTTAAGGAATAGGCATGCAGTTTCGTAAGGCATTAAAATCTTCACTAGTATTAAGAGCTAATAGCAACAAATACTTTTTATATCTTTTATAAAAAAATCCCATAAAATTCTCAAAAAAAAAAAAAAACAAAACAGTTGTGGCATGACCAGAACATAGCAACTCTGACCACGTATGTTAAAAGAAATAAATGATGCCTCTATCATGTAAATCACATTGAATTTGCTTGACAGTAAAGAATTAGGAGATGCAAAGTTACCAGTTCATATTTTGTAAAAATGAAGCACTGCCTCATAGTGCAAAAAGCACTGATTTATTGAAACTGGTCATTTTGAACTATGTGCTCTGCATTTTACATTAATTTTTTTTTAAATGTGTGTTTCTCCTTACATCAGGCAATTTCACCACATCCTAGACCTCACAGGGGAAGTTGATAGGGGAAGCTTTCTTTAGTGAGACCCTTAACATTATTGCTGTTAAGAATTACTGTGAAGCACAATCATCCTAAATAGTATTTACAAGGAGTTTCTTTAATCGCTAGTTCATTAACTTAAACCAAAGCACGGAACAGATAAATAGGATGGATTTTAAACTTTACTTCCAGATCCCCAAAAGATTTTTTACATGTGTAAGTCAGCACGTGACACATCTTTGAATTAAATAACATCCATTTTAAAATCTAAGCATGTAGCCTTTGCAGGACCAGGGTCTTTAGGTCTGCTTCATAGCCCATGTGCACAGATTCTGATGGATATTAGATTAGGCTCATAACTGATGAAACCAGAAACCTAAGTATTTCTCATACAAAGAAATCTGATAAAGAAAGATCTTGTTAGCTATTGAGGACAGTGGTAATTCTGACAGTCTCGTAAAACAAGTTCTACAATCCCATGAGGGAAAGGAAAAAAAGACAGCAAAAAAAAAAAAAAAAGGTAGCAAAGGTGGTGTCTCCCCAAGAACTCTTGTAGAGCCAGCTAATAAGACAATAAAGCATGTGTCGCATTGGGTGATGGTTACCTGGTTAGATTTTGGTATGTGATGCAAATAAGGGAGCATAGTGGAACTCTTTCAAAAAGCAGTTATTATTGAAAGCAACATATTCCAAACTGTCCATATAAAAGGAAGACATCACAGCCTTAACTCAATCCCATTTCAATTATCTCTAATTCTGCAGATTGAGAAGTAGTGTGATCCTCAGCTAATTCCATTTTTTATTCAACAACTGTATTTCTTCCTCCAAGAACTTTATGCATTTATCTCAATTTCCACTAGAGCAACCAGCAACGTTACCCCTGCAAAAGTGTTTCAGGTAAATTAATGAATCTTGGGAGGACTGTGAGTTTAACCAAGTTGATCGTGTGGCCCTTCTGACCATTAACTCAGAGCACGCTGCATGATTTTCCTCAAACCTTCAGGTACCTACCCACAGAGGAAAAACAAAACTGTAGGCAGAACTGAGAACCATTTCCTGTTTATTTCGGTTTTAGCAGATTGCTGTTAGTTTTGCCTAAAGACTAGTTACTTACGTGAAGCACCTTCCCTTAGCGTGAATAGCCTACGTTTAAAAATACATATTTATATATAGAGAGAGCCTAGTCTTGGCTGTCTCACATTTTCACATCCTCAAATTAATTGAGGAAGTTAGGCTAGGTAGGTAAGAAAACAGCAGGTTTATAGCAAGCTTTCTTCCCAAGACAAATGCTTCTTGTACAGTAGATTGCACACTTCTGCTGCACTTCTACTTAGACTATTATTCTCAGCCTATGCACAATAAGGAGACCCTGTAGAGCAGGAGATATTCAGAAAAAACAGCATTGTTAAAGAAAACCTGTAACTTAAAAACTTGCCAAAAGGTAGGAAAGCCCTGCAAAATCTATTTTGGATTTCTTATTGTTAGATCTGAACTTTCAAGGCACCAAAGATGATAATGCACAAACCAAGAACTGTGCTGTACAACTGTAAAAAGCTAAACATGGTATCAGATTTCTTCTGAAGGCAGGAAGATGTCTAGCGAAGAAGTTGCTAGGACTGCATTCTACCTTAATACTGACACATCAAAGAAACATCTCTCAAGTAGGAACAGAGAAATTCTGTTTAGACTGCTGCATTGCTAGAAATCTGCAGAGCTGAGGGTCGCAGGTTTGCTGATATGGCAACAATAATACTAAGCAGAGTCCTTACTGAAACATGGTAAAATATGCTATAGTCCTCAAAATTTGAGTGGCACACTCCTTTTTTGTCAAGTTAACAATTAACAATCTCACTATAAGGCAAAGTTAAAAGGTCAGATAATCAACCTGAACTAAGCCTAGAGGAAAAAAAAAAATGGTTGGGGGGGAGGGAAGGGGAGGAAATCACAAAACGGATCAATTTCCCCATTACTGCTCACGGAACCAGAACAGGCTTTTCAAACAGCTGTAGAAGTGCTAGTTTTCTTAGATCCATACCTTTTATTAAGAAGTATCCACCCAGAAACAAACGCTTCAAACAGCTGTAGAAGTGCTAGTTTTCTTAGATCCATACCTTTTATTAAGAAGTATCCACCCAGAAACAAACGCTTCAAACAGCTGTAGAAGTGCTGGTTTTCTTAGATCCATACCTTTTATTAAGAAGTATCCACCCAGAAACAAACGCATTTAGTATTTTATTAGAATGGAATACCCTAAGCATTGTTTTAGGTGCAGTTTTAGCTTAACATTCTAGTTTATTCAAGAGACCTTGCTTCTTACAGAAGCTAAATTTTACAAACAGCTAAGACTGTTCCTGCGCAAGAGCTTACAATCTAGTTTTTGATGTGGTAAACAGCAATAACGAACTTCAGGGAGGAAACAAAGAACAAAGCAACTCCGTCAAGATCCATTTGTCAAAGAGCATTGACAACTCAGTATTTGTCCCTAAGATGTCCCACACAGTACATTTGTTTCCTGTGAAAATCAGAAACAAGGTTCTATCAATAACCTTGGGGAAAGAACAGGCAGGCAGAAGCCTATAAACGAGGCCACAGGACACTCAACAGCTCCAAGTTCTAATGAATAACTATTTATTAGATAAAGTATCAAGGTGACACAATTGATGACATGAAATGTTTTATTACTGTAGCGTACCTGGTAAAAGCATTTCAACTTAGTGATACCTACTACATAGCTAACAAACCCATCAAACACATCAGCCATGGATTTTCATACGACGCCTAAAAACAGAGTGAGCAAGCTGGACAGGGGTGGGGGTAGGCGGGGTGTCACTCCTTGGCGAGAACTGAGGTGGAAAAAGAGATTTTCTAGAAGCTTGCCCCTAAAGTTATTTTGTTGATACAATGAAACAGTGTGGGAGGTCAAAGGAGGTAGTTTGTAACCTTCACGGTCCCCAAAGTTGACCTGTGACGTCCGTATCATTTAGTCAAATAAGTCACCACCATTTAAAGTTAAGCATTGGTTACTTTTCCTATTGATAAATAAACCAGTTCTTGCTTGCGTTAACGCCACTTGTTTCTAGTAACGCTGAAATTTCAGCTGCAATGCAAATCAACACTACTACCTGCAAAGCAAGGGTACAACTGTTAAAAAGGCCAGTACTCCTGATAAAGTGATCAGCATCGCCCAGGAAACCCCTTTCAGCGTTACGTTCCTATGCATTCCTAACAGCATCACTGTAAAAACATGAGAGGAGAGGGTTCGTGTCTAAGAAAGAAAAAAACCCAGCGCTATAACAGATTTTCACTTGCATCATGCATTCCACTTCAAAACCAACCAAAACACTGGAACGATAGGGTATATACACTGTTTCAGTATGTTCTCGGCAACCCCCCCCCCCTTTCCCACCATGTGCGGTCAAGTTGCTGAAACATTAACTAAGACAACTTCTTTAAAGTTCAGAGCTACGTTTTTTAGTAGTATGACTGCATCCCCCAAAATACATCCATCCATCATGAAGCTTAAATTATGCAAGTAATCTCCCTTTCCAATTATGAAGTTCAGTGCCCACTAGTTGCAGAACAGCATGCGTTTACTTACTTTTTAACATTTGGAAATTAAATAAAGAGGGTGAATAAATTCCACTCATCATAAACGATACAGAGAAGAAACAGATTGAGGGGCCTGAAAAGCAGTATTATTCTTTTCACAAACACTTTATAAGTGAAAGTCCACCATACTTCAGGCATGCACTGCAGTTTTTCTTCTCCCCTACTGTTTACCAGGAAGTTATGTTGTCATTCGCCTTCCCCCCCCCCGCCCCCCCCCTCCCTTTTTTTTAAGTGTTGGATGGGGCAAGCTGACCTAACACTGACAGCTAGAGCCTCAGTTTTTAGTACCCTGAAGGACTATCTAGTGAATTAAAATAAACTATAACATATCTTGGTTACTACTCTGCAGGCTTCTGGGTGTAGTAAGATGCCAGCTGCAACAGTCCCTGCTTGGCTGGTGGGGCATGGAATGGGGGTGTTTTTAAGCATCACAGCTAATATACTGACCAGCAATGCTACATTTTCAAAATCAAGTCTACAGAGTGATGTAATACCAACTTCTTAGAAATAAAAAACGCATAGGTTATTTAAAGACTGAAGAACAATAACCAACCACACACTGTAGGTTTTTATTCAAAATTGCTGTTTTTCACTATTAGTTTGACTCAACTAGTTGACTAGTTGACTTCCCACTGAATTTATCACTGAACACTGTGTGTCACTTGCTTGGATTCTAATAAACCAAGAAAGAAGAGTCACAGAGGTGCAACTGTGAGACAACCGCAATCTTACTCAAATACTCCAAGCTTTCAAGACTTTTAACATAC